GAGTATTCCATCGTATAGATAAACCACATCTTCTTGATCCATTCATCCGTGGATGGACACTTAGGCTCTTTCCATGTTTTAGCTATTGTGGAGAGTGCTGCTATGAACATTGGGGTACACGTGCTCCTATGCATCAGCATTTCTGTATCCCTTGGGTAAATTCCTAGCAGTGCTATTGCTGGGTCATAGGGGAGTTCTAGTGTTAATTTTTTGAGGAACCTCCACACTGCTTTCCAGAGGGGCTGCACCAGTTTACATTCCCACCAACAGTGTAGGAAGGTGCCCATTTCTCCACATCCTCGCCAGCATCTAGAGTCCTCTGATTTGCTCATTTTAGCCACTCTGACCTGCATGAGGTGGTATCTCAGTATGGTTTTGAGATATCAGTTCTCACCTTTGGGTGTTTCCTCCCAGCCTTCTAACGTGTGGCGCACTCCGTTGTAGGGCACAGGATCAGGTGGGGCCCCCTGACTGTTCCTAAAACAGAATCAGATAGAGTCTACGCAGAGAGCCTTTGCCGAAGACCTCTGAGGATTGCCATATTCACCAGTAATCTCTTCTGCCAAAGTCACTAACACAGACCTGCGAACCCTACGCAGGCCCCTTCCAGCCTTGAGTGATACGGGGCATCCTCGATAATGAGAGGCAGGCATTGCCGTCTGTCCTGAGACACATCACCTGGTCACTGACGGGGCCCACGGCCAGGTAAGCAGCCTGTGCGCACACACGGTTGTGTCTCGGGAAGGTGACAGATTACTGTACATCGAGGACTCGCCAAAGCGTCAGTCCCAGTGTTAAACCCTTGGTACCAGGACGAGATCACCATGGACTTGGACTTGCCATAGTCTCCCACAGTACTCTTCAACTCGGCTCCTTGCCACTAGGTTGGAGCATGAGATTCTCCGGGAGCCGGGCTGCTCCTCTGTGTACTTCCCGACTGAGGAGAAGGCAGGGGGCAGGGGGCTTCCCTGTTTCTAAAACAATTAGGATTGACCCCAGTTCTCTCCCCGCCACGATTCCACAGAGTGCTGTCGAGGGTGGCAGGGGGAGCCGTGGCCACCTGGGGGTGTGGCTGTGGTCCTTAGCGCGTGTCGTGGATGTGACTGTGAACCCCCTCTGGCCGCGGCCGGCTCGCAGGTCAGGGCCGCCTCGGGAGCGGAGACTGCGAATGCCGGCGTTCTACACAAACCCGCATTTCCCGCTGTTGCTGGGCCAGTTTTGGCAAATCCCTAGTTGGTCGGCCGTGTGCTTATGCTCACCTTTAACTCACAGGCAAGGCTCCGAACTCACCTGCCGGGGACGTGATAATCCCAAGCCTGCACGGATGCCTGTGCTGCTCCTCCAGCGGCTCGCACGCCCGTGGGTCACCGGGGTTCATGGCAGCCCTGTGAGGCAGGGGCACGGCTGTCGTCTGTCTGCCCTTCGTGCGTGGGAAGGGTCAGCTCTGCGTGCAGGACCAGTGGTGGCATTGTGGCCACTTCCCAGCCGGGGAACCTAGGCCCGGCTCCCTCGCTTCCCTGAGCCTCTGTGTCTTCTTGTCTTTGAGTCTCTCCTAGGATTTTCTGACACAAGCAACTTTAGGTCCAACCCACCCTTCCCCCACCAGCAAACCCCACCACCTGAAGATAAATTTTAGCTTTAGGAGGTGGTGGTATATTTACACAAAGAGAAAGAGCACTCTGGTATTTGCAGAGATCTGTATCTTCTTCTTCTTTCTTAATGTTTTATTTATTGCTGAGAGAGAGAGAGAGACAGTGTGAGCAGGGGAGGGTCAGAGAAAGAGGGAGACACAGAATCTGAAACAGGCTCCAGGCTCTGAGCTGTCAGCACAGAGCCCGATGTGGGGCTCGAACCCACGAACTACAAGATCATGAGCCGAAGTCGGACGCTTAACCAACTGAGCCACCCAGATGCCCCCTGTGTCTTCTTTTTACTACCCTCTTGATTGGGGATTTTGTAATGCAGCTACCATGGTTTAAAAACAAAAACAACAACAACAAACACACACACACACACACACAAAACATAAAGGAAAAGCCAAAGAAAACCCACAGTATTTTTTTTTTAACCACTTACCAAAGTCCACCAGAAGCCACTGTCTTTAAAGCTTCTCCCATCCAGCCATTATCTGGACAGGAGCCGGCAGTGACACTGAGCCTGCTTTGCGATACCAGCTCCAACTTAAAAAAACATTATTTATTTATTTATTTATTTATTTATTTTTTTAATGTTTTATTTATTTCTAGGAGAGAGAGAGAGACAGCGTGAGCAGGGGAGGGTCAGAGAGAGAGGGAGCCACAGACTGAAACAGGCTCCAGGCTCTGAGCTGGCAGTCAGCACAGTGCCCGACGCGGGGCTCGAACCCACGAACCGCGAGATCATGACCTAAGCGAAAGTCGGACGCCTAACCGACTAAGCCACCCAGGCGCCCCTAAAAAAACATTTTTTAAAAAAATGTTTGTTTATTTTTGAGAGAGCCAGCGGGGAGGGGCAGAGAGAGAGGGAGACACGGAACCCAAAGCAGGTTCCGGGCTCTAAGCTGTCAGCACAGAGCCCAATCCGGCTCCTGACTCGAAACTCACAAGCCGTGCGATCCTGACCTGAGCTGAAGTCAGACGCCCAACCCACTGAGCCACCCAGGCGCCCCACCAGCTCCAACTTTTATGTTCTAGTTTTCGGTTGTTCGTGAAACTAAAAATGTGACCCCCGCCCCCTGCTTAATTTTTTTCATCAGCCAGGTTCATCCCGTTTCCTGTCCTTTTGTGTGAACAGAATATGCATTATCAGAGCAAAAATCAACAGAGATAAAGTACAAATGTAAAAATGCTCAAAATGGAAAAAATAATAAGTGCCTTAAACTATACTTGTGAGAAATCAGTGAGATCACGTGCATGAAGCAGGGTTCCTGGGGCATCAGCGGGGGGGGGGGGGGGGGGGGGGGGGGGAAGGAAGGGTTGCTTGGAGACCCTAGACTGACAGAAGGGTGTTCTGGGTCTCGGGCCAGGGTTCTTTCTGCTCTGCCGTGGGGCTTCTCCAGGATGGGAACAGGTTACACACAGTTTGGGGTTTTTGATCATTGGTCCTGTTAAGAGATTAGGTAGTTTTCATCTCAAGTTTAACTTAGCATGTCCAGCTTGACTTCTTCCAGTAATTTCTGCCAGAAGCAGGGTTGCTAAGTTAAAAGTAAAATGGGGGCACCTGGGGGGCTCAGTCAGTTAGGCGTCCGACTCTTGATTTTGACTCAGGTCATGATCTCACGGTGTGTGACACGGAGCCCCACTCCCGGCTCCACACTGACAGTACAGAGCTTGCTTGGGATTCTCTCTCTTCCTCTCTTTCTGGCCCTTCCCTGCTCGCTCGCTCTCTCTCTCTCTCAAAATGAATAAACTTAAAAAAAAAAAAAAGGTAAAATGAATATGTAGGGGCACCTGGCTGGAACATGCAACTCTTGAGCTCAGGGTTGTGAGTTCGAGACCCATGTCGGATATAGAGATTACTTAAAAATAAAATCTTAAAATAATGAATTTGTAACTTGGGTGTTTTCAAAGTGCCTTTCTGGCATTTATATCCCTGCCAGCCAGCCGTAGAGGAGGGTGGCTAGTCACCTCACCCGTGGAGTCTAGGTTAGTCGTCACACTTCCCAACTTTAGATGGACATTTACAGACAACCTGAAAGGTGAGACGTGGTATATGAGTGCAGTTCTCATAGGGATGACATTCAGCAGCTTCTTGTACGTACAAGGATCGTGTGTGTGTGTGTGTGTGTGTGTGTAGGTAGAGGGAAGGAGAGAGGGAGAGAGAGATGTATTCACATCCTGGCTATTGGGTGTGGGGGGTTGTTCTTTTCTTCTCAAGTTTGAGCAGCCCCGTGCATTTCGTCAGTAAGCACCTTGTGTTCATCTGACTGGCAACCGTTTGTGTAATCTGCCATTTATCTGTGTTTGTTTGCTTCTGGGGCTGGTGGTAGTGCTCGTTGCAGGTGTGCGTGTGTGTTGTTTACTGTGAAGTCATGGCAACGCGCATCAGTTCCTATCATGTATTTATGACATCACCGCGCAGAAGGGAGAACCAGATGGGAATCTGGCCGTCAGTTCTTGCTGAGGTCTCTTCACAGTGCACTTTTACTCCATTACACCCTCTCATCTCCGAATTCCTCACATATTTTTTTGTACCCGTCGCTATCACTTTGCAGTTCACCACTCACACAGCCCCGGGGGGTATTGGCTCTCTTTCAAGCCTGAGACTTGACTGTCACTGAGCTGCTGACTCCGGCAGAGCAGAGGCCTGGCCTCACACACCGGCTTCTCCCACAGGCCGGCGTCAGCCAGACACTTGCTGTAGGTCCGATGAACGCCTGCTAACGGCCCAGCGACCCCTTGCCCAGCCGTGGAGGGGCTTGGGGTGTCCCGAGAGCTCTCTCCCCACAGCCCCGTGCCCTTTCTAGAACAGACCCAGGTGGGGCCAGCCCGGGGGCTCGAGCCTGAGCGACGGCTGCCAGGGCCCTGCTGGCTTGGCCTTTCCAAGCCCTTCTTTACCCACTCCTGGGACTTGCAGAACGGCTCCGGCCCGGGAGAGACGGGGAGTGGACCATCAGCTGCCTCCCTCATTCCCCTCCCCCTTTGCACGCCCAGAGGCGTGAAGGCCCCTGGCTGAGGAAGAGGAACGCGAGTCAGCCCAGGGTTGCAGAAGCCAGTGGTTTTAATGGAGGTGAGAGGGCAGGGAAGGGGTCCAAAGGCAGGATGGTGAGCGCGCGCCCCCTCTGCTGGGTGCGCTGGGGTGCGGGGCGGGGAGGAGGGGCGTGGGGAGCGGTCCCGGGGAAGGAGGAGGGAGAGCAAAATGTGGGGAGGGGGTTAGGCCCGCGTCTGTGCAGGGGGCGGTGCGGCTCCCCTGTGCCTGTGTGCGGAGGCGGAGGGAGGGTGGGGCAGTGAAGCAGCCCGCACAAGGTCCCTCAAGGTACAGAGCAGCGGCCGGACCTCGCCCGCCCTTGGCCGCGCCCGCCTCTACTTGCGGCCGACCTGAGCCATCAGGTGCGCGTTGGCGGCCGCCTTGGCCTGCAGGGTCTTGGCCTTGGCGATGTTGAAGAGGATGTTCATGATGTTAGTGGGGACGTCGAGGGACAGAGTGAACTTGGTGCGCCGGTCGCTCCTGGCCTTGTCCTGGGCCGGCCTTGCCCTGAGCTGCGCTTGGGACAGGTATTTGTAGCGGCCGCCCCCCGAGCTGGGGAAGGGCCCCTTCTTCCTGTCTTCCCCCCACACCTGCGCCGCGTCCCCCCCCGAGGCCGGGCCCTGGCCGGGCGGGGACGGGAAGCTCCTCTTGCTCGGCAGCGGCGCGGCGTCCGGCGGGCCCGGCTTGGCCTCCGACAGGGCTGTGTTGAGGCCGCCGAGGAAGGACTTGGCTTTGTAGAACTTGTGGGTCAGGCCTGGCCTGGCGGCTCCGGGGCGCAGCAGCAGCAGCAGCAGCAGCAGGAAGTGTGCGGGCGTCGGCATGTCCCCCTGGAGTAGAACACAGGCCGGGCCGGGGTGTGAGGAGGGCTTGAGCTCCCAAGGGCAGGGCTGAATTTCACTAGGGCTTTGCTCCTGTTCAACAGCGGGTCCCAAAGCCGGGTGTCCAGCCAGCAGGAGCATCGGGTATTTGTTAGAAATGCAAAGAATTCTCAGGTCTTGCCCCAGAACTACTTGATCAAAAAGCCAGGGGCCAGCCATCTGGGCTGTAATAAACCCTTCATTCAGGTGATTTCTGATGGCTCAGGTCACGATCTCACGATTCAGGAGTTCAAGCCCCGCATCGGGCTTTGTGCTGACAATGCAGACCCTGCTCAGGATTCTCTCCCTCTCTCTCTCTCTCTCTGCCCCTGCCCTCTCAAAAATAAATAAACATTTAAAAATTAATTTTAAAAATTTAAATGCCCTCCCCACCCTCTGCCCAGCCTCGGTGCGGCAGCAGCTCACAGTGTGTCAGAAGGCGATCGGGGTTTGGGCTGTGTGTGGTCACCGTGCCTTAGGAGCATGGTGACCTGGGCAGAATTTAGCTCCTGTGTCCCAGGACCGAGCCCAGCCCGCACCCCGCCTGGCCACGCTCTCTCCAGCTCAGAAATAAGGACATGTGATCCTGTACAGTACCGTCACCTTCGTGCACGAGACAGAAACATGAGGTCGAGGGGTGGGGTTTCATGTGCTCCTCCCAGAGGAAGGACTGCTGGGCGCCCTGCACACCGACGTCACGACACCCCCGGGCACTCCTGGGTGCGCTGCGGACCGGACCACTGGACCATCCCAGGAGGTGCGAAGAGCAAAAGGCCACCCTCTTCACTTTGGTTGCTTTACCTGAACTTGGAGTTCCTTTTCTTTCTTTTTTGTTAAATGTTTATTTATTTATTGTTGAGAGAGAGAGAGAGAGAGAGAGATCAGGAGCAGGCATGGGGGGGGCAGGCAGAGAGAGAGGAAGACAGAGAATTCCAGCAGTCTCCGCACCCTCAGTGCAGAGCCCCATGCCGGGCTCGAACTCATGAACCGTGAGATCATGACCTGAGCTGAAATCCAGAGTCAGAGGCTCTACCGACTGAGCCACCCAGGTGCCCCTGGAGTTTATCTTCTGTCTAAGACACCCTTGGCTCCCACAAAAGGAAGCTAGAAGGATGTGGCTGGCTATGGAACTTGAGGGGGACTGCTGTTATTAAGGTAGCTTTTTAGTAAGGAAGAAAAGTTGGAAAAGTAAATCAACACAGGGGTCCTTCTGGGCCTTGAGAAGTGCTAGGCTAGCAGGGGATTGTTGTTTTCTGCGGTTACAGGCAGAGGCGAGGGGGGCTGGCAGTCCCGGGCTGAGTTCTGGCCTCAGCCCTGCAAATCATTGTCACCACGACCTTGAGCAAGTCGTTTCCCAGAAAATGAGTGGGAACGAACCCACATCTACTTCCCAGCTTCCTCATGCTGTGAATGGATGAGGCTAGAACTCACCCTTAAACACCTGAGCCTCGTTCTCTCTCTAAGGGAGAATCTGGTAAGCTCTCACTTACCCTGGGCACGCGCACACCCAGGCACACACACACACACACACACACACAGGCAAGTTTTCTCTAGAAGCCTGTTGTTTTCTCACACACTCCACCACATTGCACCTACCGCCGTCCTTTTTTCTTTTTCTTAACTGACCAGGTTGCTTTATTGGTTTGTTCATTTGTTTTTACATCATAAAAATGTTGAGCTTATCGAAACAGCTATGAAAAAAAAAATGTGATGCTTGCTTTATATGATCCAAATGCACGACCTAGCTGTGTCTGGGCGTGCGGCAGTGTGCAGGGAGATCAGCACAGGCTCGGGCTCGAGAGACACGGGTTCGCTTGCACCTTGTCCTGGTTTGCCTGAGGGCCGGGGGCAGATGTGTTACTTCTGTGCGCTTCGGCTTCCTCACCTGACACGCGGGACAGCAACGACTACCTCCTGGGGCTTACGTGGAAGACTAAACTGCGGCGGAACAGCTCTTGCTCGAGCCGGATACCTGATAGAGGACACTGCCTCCTGTCAGTAACCAGATGTTTGGCTTTGTCATTCACTCAGGGTCCAGTTAGTTCCTCTGTGTAAACACCGCACGGAAACGTGGCTTTGGCTGCCCTGCGCCTGGGAGGCACCTTAAGGCGTCTGCACAGCTTCTGAGGATTTAAAGACTCAAAACCCAGCTCACAGAGAAAGGGTTAATGCTGGCGGGGAAGTTGTAGAGAGAGAGCTTTGTCTGGGGTTTGCAGGGGAGAAGCTCACACGGAGAAAAGCCCTCCTTTCTCCTCAGTAAAGTCTGATTCCCGAGCAAGCGAGCAAGTGAGCAAGCGTCCCCTCTTGCATTCTTTGGATTCCTTTGCCACCACCCCTGGTGACGACACACACAGGTTCGCGATTTCCCTGCCACCTGCTGTGAAAACCGGCACTGCCCCTGCCCCTATAGTTAGCTTCTAGGGGGCACAGCTCTCCCTCTGTATTTTTCTGGATCATTCTGTCAGGGTCTAGCAGTACTTTTCTAGATGCTTCTCAGAGCTGTCCCAGAGTCACACAGGGGGACGTGGGGGCAGCGAGGGACCCCTGAGGGCAGAGCACCCCCAGGGAGAGGAGACCCCAGGGGAACAAGGACGGGAGCTGAAGCCAGAGGCAGACACAACGGTCGCGCAGCTTCGCCCAGAGCCGGCCCGGCCTCCGGCCTGAGGAAGGCAGAATGACCCCCCCTGCGACCCCGTCCAGCTGCAAACCGTGACCAGAAGTGGACTGTAAGAGACCCTTTGTGACCCCGTGGCCGCGGGGTCTGGGGGAACCCGACATACCGCAGCCGGTGTTATGGCAATGGGCTCGTCTCCGCCGGGACCCCTGCAAGTGCGGGTCACCGACTCCCGCACACGTCCAGGCCGCTCGCCCCTAAGGGGCTTGTGAGGCTGTGGGGGCTTGGGCGGGGTGCGGCCTGGACAAGAGCGGTGGCAATACCACTCCCTGACAGGATTCGCGTTCATCTTGTTTACTCCGTTCTCAGAACTGTGTGTGTGTGTGTGTGTGTGTGTGTGTGTGTGTGTGTGAAGATCACAGACTGAATTTCTCAGAGAACTTGGACATCAAACGGGGACCTCCAACCTCCATCCTCACGTTCCCTCCCCCTCCCAGGTGGTGCCAAGTCATTACAGGTGTCTGTCCCCTGCCCCTCCTGTCCCCGGCTTGGCAAGGGAGAAGGGGCTGCAGGCTTTGGGGGCGGAGGACCCGGGTCCAAAACCGCCCTCACGCTCTCACTTGCCCGGGGTGAGTCACTTAGCCTCTCGGGGTCCACATCCTGAGAAGGAGGCATCGCCTGCCTGGCCGCGTCCCCGGCTTCTGCAGCCCGTGGGGACTCACAGCCTCGGTGGTGGCTGCCATCCCCAGCCACCTCCCCGTCTGTAAGCACGATTTTCTTGTCCACCGCTGAGCCCTGTGCAGGAAAATACACTTGCGAGATCACCTTCTGCCTCCAATCTGTTACCTTTGCAAAGCCGGTCCCTCTGTGCCAAAAAGGGGGGGCGGATGTCTCCTCACCTGAAGTGCACACGGTCGTGTTCGGCGCCGGGCTGCCCGGGGCGCCTGCAGCCTCGCGCGCTCGCCCCCGCCCGGTCCCCAGCGGCTCCTGCCTAACGCAGGGCCAACGAGCTCGCCCCGGCCGCAGTCTTACCTGTGAGTGGCCTTCCCTCCGCAGTGCAAATGCTCCGTGGGGCGGGCAGCCACCTCACGACCGGGGGCCTGCCCCAGACACGTGCCCCTGAACTTCGGTCCCGGCGGGGGTCACTGCTGCTGCTTTCCTCGTACTGTCCCCGAGGGGGCCGTGATCTTCCCTCTCTATGGAAACCACTCCACTCCCTCGTGCATGTCTATAAAAGTGACGGATCACAGGGTGGATGGTAACTCCAGACGTGCTGTCTACACCGGGACGCGATTTCATTTAAAATACAACCGAGCGGCCGACCGCGTCATAGAGATGACAGGCACTCGGCACCCCTGACCCCTCCTACCCACCTTCCCACCCGGCCCTCCTTCTGCCTCCCACTTCCCCTCCTGCCCTAGCAACGTGCTCATTGATAAAAAGGAAAAAAAAAAAAAAACCCACAACACTCTGTTAAGCTGAGAAGCAGCTCCTTTGAAGAGTTTTATTACGGATCCTGGTGCTGCCTGATTTCAGCCTCCCCGCACGCCTGTCAGGCTGCGCCTCCTTTAGGAGGTCGGGACCCGGGACCTGCTTTGAAAGGAGAGCAGGTGACTTGACGTTCAGCTGTCGTCTTGTGGCCCTGGTGGCTTCCGACGTGCGCGTGGCCTCCGGCGGCTCACGGGGCGCTCTGCGCTCGTGTCCATCGACGGGCACGCAGACAGGCCGGCGCGGTGTTCCTCGGGCTTCTGACGGGAAATCATGTGCATTTTACCTGTGTTGTTTTCATCGGTTCATCCACTACGTTTTGAGCGCCTGCTGCCTGGCGGGTGTTGGCAGAGTCCGGGGAACGGGAAGAGGCCGGGAACCCCGTCCTAACAGGCATCAGAGACGTGTGTAAAAACAGCCTGCGGTCAGCAGGGCCCGCACCTTAGTGCAGAAGGGAGCGGCCTGTCCCGCAGCACAGCGGGCGGGAGCAGGGAAGCTGCCCGGAGAAGGGGGGAGGGTTCGGGAGGCAGGCGGGCAGGGAGGGTCAGGGGGCTGGCTTCACCCTGGGAGGTAAGGAACACCCAGGCGAGAGGCTTTCGATTTCATTCCCAATGTACGGGCGAAGACATGGGAGCCTGCGGGCAGGTTACCTCCATGCTTCACGGGTGAGGACGCGGAGCGCGGGGTCCGGATGGGCATCTGGGTCTCTTGTGCATTGAACCGTTTGGAAGCGCCGTGCAGGACCCGGGGTGTGTCCGGACCGCTGGCCAGGACCGCATCTCCCGTCCTAGGTGGGCGTTCCCGCCTCCTGAAGCGCCTCTAGATGAAACGTAAGGGGCTTCTGGAACCATCCAAACGTTTTCATGCTCATGGGTGTTTTGTGGCACAAAAGGAAAGCCCTTGTGGGGAAGGAAGCCCACCCCCCCCAGCCTCAGCCCTCACTGTAGACGCGTAGGATTGGGCCCCACTCGTTCCTGCTGCCGGAGCTGCGGGGCTGGGCTTCTCCCGAGGTTAGGAGCGATATGAGGCTCAAGATCTGAACCCCACTTATTCATTCACTTGTTCGTTCATATAGTCGCCTTTGGGAGAGATTTTATCTCTCCCCATTTCAGATAATTAGGCAGTAATGGAATTTGTGTAGGCTGAGGGGTAGAGAGTTAGAAGCCCGAGTTTAACCCCCTGTCTGCCCTTCTGAGCTCCGGGCCGCCGGGGAGGCAGTCTTGTGAGGAAGGTACCAAACGTTGCCACCCCGAGAGCCGTGGGGATTCTCAGCCGTGGCACTGTTGACGTTCTGGGCCAGATGATGTCGTGGGGGCCGTCCTGGGCCCCGTAGGTGTTCGCAGAGCGTTCCCTCCCTTGCCCAGT